TGGGGCAGGATTACCTAGGGGCAAGAGCAGACATGGAGAGCTTTCCGGTAGACTATCCACTGGATTACTGGGTCTTGAGAATTGATCACTGGCCATAACTTAGCCATTATTCCATGGAGCTACTGGGCTGCCCTGCATCCGGCGTGCTTTCCGAAAGGACGATCAGTGCTGCTGGATGTTTTGTGACAGATAAAAGAGTGCATCTGTCCACAGACTCCGTTGACCGGCTGACATTTATCAAAATGAATCAGTCCTGGATCAGAAGCAGCTATCAATCCCCTGATGCAGATGTCACCGAATAAATTTGTCGGGGATCTCTGGAAGACTGCCTAAGTTTGTGGGCTATTATTCTATCTTGAAGTAATGTTCTTGATGTAGTGCACCAGCAACACCCAAGGCCAAATTTTTCCACACCCGCCTGTGACAGGTCCATATAATTTGAATTTTTTTGCAGCAGGGTCCAATCCAGCACTCGCCGAGAATAACTCTGAAGGGTTATGGTGTGAAGGCATCGCGAACACCAAAGACCCATTTTTTCCAAACCTGTGTGACAGGTATATATAATTTGAATTTTTTACAGCAGGGTCCAACCCTGCACTCGTCAAGAATAACTCTGAAGGGTTACGTTGTGAAGGCACCGCCAACACCAAAGGCCCAATTTGAAAGCACCTGTTGTTACTTTCATCTAACGTCTGCAAAAGAGGCACCAGAATTTATCCAAAAAATCCTAAAATATGGTCTCTTCATACAGGCTGCCCCCCCAAGCAGTTGTTTAAAAGATTAAAGGAAATCCAGAGTTAGGACTTACCGGTAACTCTAATTCCATTAGTCTTCCAGGACAGCATCACGAGATGGAATCTCCTCCCCCACACACAGGAAACACGTCACTTAATCTGTTTAAAAGACCCTCCTCTCCTCCACTCCCTCAGTCATCACGAGAACCGAAAGGCAAGCTGGAAAAAAGAAGACCGGTATCCGCAGTTACTGCAAGCTACAGGGGTAACCCAGGATCCATGTCCGCAGAGCCTGTTTGAAAAGAAGCCTGCCAGCGTTTCTTCTCAGTCACTACTGAGATCCACGCTGTATTAAGCACCAGCCGAGCCCTCCCCTTCCTCCTGCGCCGAAAACGCACAAGCCCGGCAATGACGTCACCCGCGCCGGAAGTGACGTACGCGGCCACCCGGTCTGGCCGTGGAACACGTTCCCGAGGCCCTGAGAACCGGACAGACCCCTCTGAACGGCGGTCCACCGCTTCTCCTGACCAGCCAAGGGGGTTTCGTCCTTCCGGTACCGGCCCGCACTGGGCACTGAAGGGGGAAAGGAAGCCAGCCTCATCTCCTGCAGCGCTAGGAGAATCCCTGGGGCTCACACAAGGTAGGCAAACCTACCCCTCTGCCTTACACCGGCAGGCCATACACAAAAGGAAAACTTCCCGGGCAGCATCACCACATGGAAGCCCCTCTCAGCGTTCTGTGACGCGCTCCCCAGCTTGACTGAGGAAACACAAAAGACTGAGGGAGTGGAGGAGAGGAGGGTCTTTTAAACAGATTAAGTGACGTGTTTCCTGTGTGTGGGGGAGGAGATTCCATCTCGTGATGCTGTCCTGGAAGACGTTATGGGAAAACCAATTAGCAGCAATTCAAATGTCACTTTTTTCTGCAGCAGGTTCTAAACATCGTACAGATCCCCCACTTCACAGGCAGTTTAAGGGGACCCCGCCTTTTAAAGGAATTTTTCATTTTTATTCTTACCCTTTAGGTGATGTAGAAATCACTGCGCCTTTAAAAACTTAATTTTCCCCCCCATTGATACATGTCCCCCCGGGCAGTACCCAGATCCCCATACCCTTTTTATGGCCAATAACTTGCATATAAGCCCTCTTAAAGGGGACAATTGTTTTTGAAAGTTCTACCCCCATAGACTTGCATTGAGAATTTTCTAAAGTTCGAACTTGAACCAAACTCGGGCCTGTTCGGCCCATCAATACTGAAGATAACTGTTTAGAAATCTATGTGACCTTTTAAAGTGACCCTGAACTAAAGGAGTTAAATCTTAAAAATGCATTCAAGTACCTTACCTTTTAACAAAAATGCAGCTTATTTGTGTATCACTCGGCTGAAGATGCTCAAATCATCTCTAAATTCATGCTGACGTTGTCCTTCCTTGTGGAGGGTGGCAACTTTTGTTCCCCATGGTGCCTGTGCGGGGTGTAAAGTAGCCATCGCCCCATGCTCTGTCCCGTGATGTACTACAAACTTATGTTTAGTTTACTCATTTGTATTGAAATTATAGTCCATCACAGGAGCGATGGCTACTTTACAACACACACAGGGACCATGGGGAACAAAAGTAGCCACCCTCCAGAAGGAAGGACAGAGTCAGCACTAATTCAGAGATGGTTTGATTATTTACAGCCGAGTGATACACAAAATATGATACATTTTTGTTAATGGGGTACTTAAATGCATTCCTAAGATTTAACTCCTGATCTTAGTGTCACTTTAACTATTAACAATACTGGACCTTATTTGTGCATCACTCGCTGAAGATCCTCAAATAATCTCTGAATTGGTGTCCTTCCTTCTGGAGGGTGGCTACTTTTGTTCCCCATGGTCCCTGTGTGTTATAATGTAGCCACTGCTCCAATCTGCTCCCCTGATGGACTACAATCTCAATAAAAATTAGTAAATTAAACCTGAGATTCTATTCCATCACAGGAGTGAGGTTGGAGCAGTGCCTACTTTACAACACACACAGGGACCATGGGGAACAAAAGTAGACACCCTCCAAAAGGAAGGACAGTGTCAGCACTAATTCAGAGATGATTTGAGGATCTAGAGTTAAGTCATACACAAATAAGTTACATTTTTGTTAATAGGTAAGGTACATTTATAAGGTTTAACTCCTGAGTTTAGTGTCACTTTAACGCTAACATGTTTCTGTCCTATAGTCGACTACTTGACATGTATAGTAAACCTGTCAGAAAATTGTACCTATTGTTCTTAAGCTGAACTTGTGTGTAATCATGACTAAACATGCTAAAAAAAATGCAGAAGTTATCACATAAGAAAGGCACATTGAAGGGAATTTACTAAGAATAGCGCAGACAAAATTTACAGCAGTTGTGCATGGCAACTGATCAGCTTCTATGTCATTTTAAAAGCTTAACTTAAGAAGCTAGAAGCTGATTTGTTACTATGCACAGTTGCTCCAGACTCCATCTGCTCCCGCTTTAGCAAATTTCCCTCTTAGTATTTTCAGAGCCCTGAGAGACCCCATTCTCAATGTGGTAGCGAGTTGACAGCCAGAAAGTTGTCCCTTATCTCCCTGGAATGTTAGTGGATTCAATACGCTTCCTCAACCTTTTTTTTGTATTTGACCTCTATATTTTTCATATGCATGTGAGATGTACTGGCTATTTCTTGTGCTTGGTTTTAAGAACTATGAAGAGCGAAAAGTGAAGAACCTGGAGGACCACTTGTGTGCAAATTCAACATCAGATGAAAATGACAGGATGTCCATAGCTGCCAAGTTTCCTGGATACTTCAGGACAGTACTGACATTTTTTACACTGTTTCTCTGTATCCAGGACACAGCAGGGACCTGGTGCTGGAATGCATAAAGTCCTGGCATCTGGCACTGGATTTATGGCAACATTGTCAGGTGTGATTTCCTGCCTATTGGTGCCAGCGTGTTACTGGTAGGAGGGGCATGTGATCTGATAAGTAACCAATTAACACCAATGATAACGCTTCTTTTACCTCCCTTTGCAAATAGATTGACTCATTTAAAGAAGAACTCCAAGAAAATGTTTTATTAACCCTTCCAGTGGAGCTACTCCCACACTGCAAGGGTTAACGGCTCGTTTTTGTCTAGGTAAAAAAAGAAGAAGTTACACTTACCCTATGCTCCGAGCTGGCTTGTTCTCAGACCGGCCCTTCCAGCATCCCCCCTCTACAGCGGTCTAAGGCCCCATAAATTATCATATCTATACACAGAGTATAGACGTGAGGATGTTGAGGAAGATTCCAATGCTGCCGTGTAGGAGTGGACAGGCTGGAGGGAGCACTATTAAAGCTGGCCCGGCTCGGAGTTTTGGGTGAATATATCTTTATTTTTGAACCTAGACAAAAATGAACACTTAACCCTTGCAGTGCCGGGGGAGCCCTATTGCAAAGGTTAATAAACAGTTTTCCTGAGTTCTTCTTTAAAACCTGCAAGATGTCTCATGTAACAATTTGAAAGGTAAAGCTGGCCATACACCTATAGATTGTGTGCAGATTTCTATGGTCAGATGGAAAAAGTGCAACAGATTCCTCCATCTATGCTAAACTGTGTGGATGGAGGAATCTCCCACTGGGCCAAGCTTCAGTATCTTGTTAGTCGCCCGCTGGCTGTCAACATACCTGAACAATGCCTGCATTCAAGGCCAACTAGCAGGATACTGAAGATTGGCCCAGGGAGAGATTCCTCCATCCACAGTTTAGCATAGATGGAGGAATCTATTGCACTTTTTCCATCTGACCATAGAAAATTTGCAGATAATCTATAGGTGTATGGCCAGCTTTAAAAGCGGTGTGCCCTAGCACTTGTTCGAGTCAAGCGTGGACAGTCATTGACATGAACATAATACATGCCTGCCCATGGCTTTGAGAATACAAGGAGCGCAAACGCGCTCTCTCTCTTATTTACTACACAATTTAAATAGCATACACATTTTGACTAATCATAAAAGCCTACTATGGCCGGAAAACCGCATCTTAACACATCGCCCCGTCTATAGTTGTGGTATTGCTAAATGCGTTCAATTGCTCACACACACACAAAAAGAGAAAAAAAACATGGGCTAAACATACATGCCATCCCGGAAGTCAGCTTAGATTCCTGCGCGTAACACACGGCGCACCAATAGGAAATATCCTGGTGACATCATATGTGTGCGCCCCGTCTTCTGTGAGAACATAGTAGGTGGAGCTGTATTCGGTTGATTATCCTCTGGGACGGAAGAAACGAGGTAGGATTATTGGTTCATGAGATGTGAAGAAAATGATTGTTTAGTTCCAAGTTTGTAATGTATACACCTCGGGAGTTTTAGAAGCCGAGTGAGGATGCTTAGCCGGTAGAGGCTAGAATTAATGGTTTGGAGGTGGTCTTCCCTGCTTGCAAGCCCTAAATGTGATCCTTATAATACTGCAACCATCCTGGCCCAGAATCCTGTATCATTGGAAAGCTCTCCGACAGCCCACAACTTTAGTGACTTGTGATAGCACAGCATTTCAGATTACTTTAAAAATGCTGCTGAAGTTTTTATGACTTGCTTTCAAAGGGTCGGACAAATGATGCAGTGTTTTGAGGACGCCCTAAACGGCATGATGGGATGATTGGCTGCAATGCTTAGCACAATCACTAGGTGTCGGTATACTTTTTGCACCCTTACATGGAAATCAAAATGTTGTCACGTAAAATATGTTGTTCTTTTCTGTAGTGCTTGATACTAAGTTGCAAACAATAGGTGAACATGTTTAAATGAGAACTATGAGGTGTGTGATTTTTCACTCAACCTCATAGTTCGAGCAATGAAACTGTCACACGTCGGCTGAATAGATTGGGACGTGAGCGAACACATACCATTGCTTGCTCACTTCTTTCTCATCTCCCTGCAAAGAGCTGTGGCTGACTTGCGATCTGCACTTCAATAGCTTATTTCTAGTGTAAAGGTGACACTGGGGGTCTTTTGGACCCCCAGCATCACCTTTTAAAGAGTACCTGTCACCTCCATCTGCTATCACATGGGGGGGCTTGTAAGCACCCCTATGTGATAGCAGTCATAGTAAAGTAAAAATAACAGTTTTTTAAAAATTAAATATAATAATAAAAAAATAAAGGCCCCCGCGAGCACGCGCGTTGCCACGTAAACACGCGTCGGGTGTGCCTACGTATGAAAACGACGAACACGCTACACATGTTGGGTATCGCCGCGCACGCTGGAGTGAGAGCAATAATTCTAGGCCCCAATAATTCTATCTCTAAATAGATGACCTGTGGGGGCTTTTAAAGCGTCTTCTATGGACTTTTTGGGGTACTGCAGTTTTTGCCGTTTCACGGACGCACGCAATTTGTAAACTGGGCATGTTGGGTATCGTTTTACTCGTTGTAACCTCATCTTTTATATTTCATTTAAAAAATGGGTATTTTATTGTGTTCTGGGGCATTTGAATTAAATTTGTCACTAAATTTTCGGGTTTAATAAGGAGTTGCGCTACATAAAAAAATTTGCAACTACCACCATTTTATTCTATAGGGTCTTGGCATTCAGAAAATATATAATGTTTGGGGGTTTTAAGTAATTTTCAGGCCTAAAATGTGGAATATAACATGGGTGCAAAAAATGGGAAAAAGGCCTCAGTCATGAAGGGGTTAAAGGCGAGTGATTTCCACTCATCCTCATAGTTAGAGCCAACCTGTTACAAAGAAGCTGCCGCAGGTTAGCTCTATTGATCGGGAAGTGAGCGAACACATACCGTTGCTTGCTCACTTTCAGATAATCTCCTTGTAGAGAGCGGTGACTACCAGTCACCGCTCCCTTCTCCGATCCTTCAGCGCTGAGTGGAGGAATGGACGGGGGAGGGGGTGGGCACAGCTGGTTCTGCCTTTAGATTGGTAGAGCCAGCTGTCACTCGCGCAGCTGGGTGGACCCAGACAGTATTGTCGGGATCCGTCCCAGCTGCGGAGCTCTCAGTATATCGGGGGGAATCGCCGCTATATACTGAGCTTTGGTATATGTCAGGGATAGGCAACCTTGGCTCTCCAGCTATGGTGCAACTATAAATCCCATCATGCTTCTGCCTCTGGGAGTCATGCCTGTGGCTTGCAATGCCTTATGGGAATTGTAGCTTCATCACAGCTGAAGAGTCAAGGTTGCCTACCCCTGGTATATGTCTTCGCATGACCCTAAAGCAGGGATAGCCAAACTCTGGCCCTCCAGCTGTGGTGCATTGCGCTGTATAATGTATTATTCCTTGATTTGTAGTCCTCTATACAGCACAATGCAGAATACCACCAGCTATAGAGGAGTACAAAAATCAATCAGAAACAGGTTAATTATTTTTCTACATGGTGTTTATGGCTGACATATCATGGTTACACATGCCAAAGAACATATCTGACCACTTTCTCATAGAAATATGGTTTGCGACCGCTCCCTTCTATTGAACAGCTGTGTTTGGATCAACAGGCCCCACTTGGTCTACTCACTATGATTTATAAATGGCTCCATCCATCAGAACTGGAGCGCCTCTTCCTATTGTGTTTTTTTTTAATAAATTCTTTGTTTAAATTTTGTAACTTACATATCAGGGTTACAGATGTTAAGGAACATATTTAACCTGTTTCTGATAAGAATATGGTTTTAAATAATATTGTAAATGTGGATTAAGGGTGGCATATCATGGCTACACATCCAGTGGCGTAACAATAGCCATAGCGACCCAGGCGGCCGCTATGGGGCCCGGCCAGGACACCCCCCTGATGACGTGCGGGCCGCCTGGGTCGCTATGGGTTCGAACGCACCGCTGTTCAGATCACATGTATTATACACCGTGTGTATAATACATGTCGAGCAAGTTCGGGGGTCTGCAGAGGAAGAGTGGGCGGTTAAGCTATACATGGTAGAGTAGTAGTCGTTGAAGGCAGTGGCGATGTCAGAGGGCAAGGTGGACTTGGTATCGGAAGGTCGGACGATGGAGGGGATATAATTCCAGACATGTCGCTTACGTAGAGCTCTTGCCAGATATTTGCCACATTGATTGCCATACTCGTAAAAAGATGGTCTACATTTAGTCAGAATGCAAAGCTGTTCACATAGAGAGCACAACTGAGCTTCAATAGTCTTGTCAATGGTAGTTTTATGGCGAGACTTGAGGAGTCGTACCTGAGTCAGGAGGTCGTTAATACGGGCAAGTCTTTGCTTTTGAGCTTGGCACCATGGGTAATAAGGGATACACGGATTGTGGCTTTATGGGCTTCGCAGATCGTGTAGGGTGATATATCGGGTGAAGTGTTCTCGTTAAAAGAGAAACGAAGATCACGTTCAAGGGAAGCGATAATGTCAGGGTTGAGAAGTAGGGACTCCTACAGTTTCCACTGCAAGGACCGGGAGAAGGGCTATCTAAGAAAAAGGTGAAAAGGATGGGGGCGTGGTCCAATGTCGGTAGATATGACTCGGGAGTTGGTTGTGGTGTACAAACAAGTTTGAGTGTAGCATTGGTTAAGGTGGGAGAATAAAGTGTAGTCTTATGTAGAGGGGTGTTGAAATACGCCAGGCATTCACCAGTTGGTGGGCAAAAAGACATGTTTTAATACGTTTTAGCGTGTTAAAAGGGAGATGAGGAGGACACAGGGTTCCAACACAAAGTTAAAGTCGTTTAACAATTGTCGGCGCATTAGATTGTGAGAGCAGTGTTTCATACCCCAGTAACCTGACATAATACCAAGATGATAAGATCATTAAGTCCAAACCAAGTATGCAAAACCTGGGGGGCTGTTAAGAAACATAGTTGCTCCCACAAATGAACTTAGTAAAAATTACAAAATTTATTTATTGTAGCAATAGATTAAAACCATAAGTTGTGTTAAAATAGACTCAGAGTTCATACAACAAAGTAAAACATGGTCCAGATACAATACAGTAAGATGTTGCAGTGGTCTGGTTGATCACATGAAGATTAACACATGGTGTTGTTCTCTAGGTGCCTCAACATGTTTCACCACATATTGGCTTCCTCAGGAGGACTTCAGTCCTAGAAGACTATTTAATATACAAAAAATCAATAACCACTGTGGTGGAATAAGTTCAATCATACAGTATATGAAAACTGATAAGACAACAAACAAAAACACAAAATAAGGTAAAAATAAAAGACCTGCAACTTGTCACGGACCAGCCAACGAGAGACAAACCAATTGGCCGCAAAGGCCAGGAGCTCAAACCCCTACACACCAGAGGGGTGGAGGCAAGCAGGCAGCAAAGAGGGGAGAAAACAAAGAAAGGAAATAGGAACAGACCGTGTTCCAAATCTCCAGTGGTACAACACACTAAAAAAATTAAAACATTTATATGCGTGTATAGCTGAGGGCTATGGGCATAGATGAGGTGGTGTGTACGTGGATAGAGAACTGGCTACGGGAACGTGTCCAGAGAGTATCTGTAAATGGCACCTTTTCGGACAGGGCTAGTGTAATGAGCGGTGTGCCTCAAGAATCTGTGCTGGGTCCGATACTGTTCAACCTATTCATTAATGACAACCGGGAAGCTGCTCATCGGGCTCCACAGTCTGCTCGTCACAGACGAGTGGATTTTTCGAGCCCTGACTATATTATAATGTGAGGTGGTATTATTAAATAAGTACTATGAAAACTAAATAATTAATAATTAAAAATGTAAATACATTTATTTTATCCGATTTAATAAAAAAAATAACCGGCCAACTAATTGATTATGAAAATAATCGTTGGTTGTAGCCCTAGTGTTAACCATCCAAACTGTATAGCCATCTTTAAGGTTGATTTACTTTTTTTTTTTCTCTTGATGGGTGGAGACGTGGGAAATCCTCAGGCGCTATCCATTAACTACCTCCAGGCCGGGCGTAGTAAAAAAAAACGGCCGGCCGGGAGCTCTCTAGATCTGAGCGGGCGTCCGCTCAGACAAGCCCCCTCGCGCGCGCCCGGGAAATGCCCGATATTTAAAAACAGGCAGCGATGCCTGTGAACATACAAGCGATCAGCTTCATCAGCTGATGGTGCAGATCTGTGCTTCATCAGCTTCTTTTGGGGGGTCCTAGGTGACATTAGGGGTCTTGGAGACCATTGATGTCTCCATAAAGAGGACCTGTCAC